AAGTCGATCGGTGTGACGAAGTCCACCCCCATGCCAGTGCCTGGACGCATCCTCCGTAGAGCTCGACGGACTTCCTCCACCGTGATGCTGGGTAGCGGGTCGTCCTCCGCCGCCGCTTGCACCTCGGCGAAAGCCTCGAAGACCTCATCCTCCACCAAGGTAGTTGGAGCCCAGAGCCGATGCCAGTGCCGAGCCTTAGCATCGATGAGGCCCTTCGGGTGGTAGAGGGTCACTCCCTCGTGCTCCATCTCGTCCGACGGCTGAGGGAGTGGGTTGAGAGACTTATGCAGGCGTCCCAACGACTCCTTGTCCTCCACAAAATCCTTGAACTCCGATAAAGATTCCTGGATCGCCCGCCGTTGACTGCGAGCACTGACCTTCTTTGCCGCAAGCTCAAAATACGCCAACTCACGATCGTCAGCCGAACCGATATTGTGCAAGAGATGGAGCCAGTCATCCCAAGAACGATCTTTGGACTCCAAAAGAACTCCCTGCACCTGGTCTGGTCGAACATCCAAGTGACGGCGACAAGATTGGATATACTTCCGAACCTGGCTGGCTCCATTCTGCTTCTGCCGATGGTGGTGGATGCCGTGTAGTAGCGTGTGCAACTGCGTCCACCAGCAACTGATAGCGTTACGAACTGGCGTCACTCGCGTCTTGGTCGTCATTCGCATAGGCTGGACAGAGAACTGCACTCCATCAGCCCGACGTGGTCCCGCGGGGACCTGGACGCCATGGCGACATGTAATAGTATTCTCAACAGACGTGACCCACGAAGAGTAAAGTCCTGAAACAGCCGCAATCAAATCAGGTTTGAGCCTACAGGCTACGGAATCACGCAAAGCAGGAGCAAGGGACTGAAGACGGGCAGACCCCGAGACAAATCCTACTTCTTCCCGACACCGAGACCAGGTATCCTCGGGAATACGGAAACTAGGCCTAGCTTCAGCCTGAGACTGCGCTCTTCCCGAGCTGTCAGGACCCAACTCTCGAGAAGGAGCCAGGGTCTCGCGGCGCGGCGGAGGGCCAACCGTGGAGCTGCGGGCTGGTCCCGAGTCCACAGTCGAGCAACCTCTACCAGCCTCCGGAGCCCCCTGGCTACCTTCGTGAAACACAGGGTTGGATGCAAGCACTGGTTGAGGGCCGACGGCGGCGACCGACGACGACGCCCCACAAAGCGGACCCCCACCAGTGCTGTGGTTAGATGCGTGCAGAGCGTGCCCGAGGGACGCGCCAGGACAAAAGTTGAGCTCATCAGCCCATGGGTCCTCTTCTTCAGGCCACTCGGAATAGTCAAAACCATTCTCTTCACACGGCAAATCAGAACCTACAGTATTAGACTCAGCTGCGGTCGGGGCACTTTCACCCCCATCAGGCCCTTCCAACAGCTGATCCCCTACGGATTGAGCACAATCCCCAAACAAGGTATTAATTTGGGCTAGTCTCTTATCGACAGCCGCCCGATGTTGAATCTGTCTGCGCGCCTTAGCAATGCTAGATTTTGAGCCCGAAGTGGGGGCCATCGTGGGCCTCGGGACCTGAGTGGGCTTCCCAGGGGCTTCCATGACCCTCGTGATGAGCTGCTCCCCGCTGCCTCTAAGAGCGAGGTGCAGCCCGACGCGGGGTCCCCGGGGCACCGAGACCACAGGCTGCAAATCGACAACAAACGGGCGGGCCGACTCACTACACATGAGGTAATCGATGTGGGTACCAGCAGCTAGGTTGCACGTCGACTGAATGTCTGCTTGAATGATGAAACCTCCGATTTTTTCCAAAACAAGACTTCCGAAGCTCCTGCACACTCATGTTCCAATCGCCTATGACTGCCCACGGGAGCTGCAACGCAAACAGAAAGCCAGCAAGCCGTCGAAATCGGCCCATGTCGAGACCCCGCATGCCCAAACAGGAATGGGCGTAGAAGGTCGCCAGCACGAGGGAATACCCCTTGCAATGGACAACTTGCGCAGCAAAGCCATCCGTGCACTTGTGCCCTGGTGCCTGCAGACGTGAGCCTGCATTCTTCAGAGCAGCAACTCGATGCACTTGCAGATGCCGACGGGACATCAGGAACTCACCTCCCTCATTGGCGTGCTCCTCCTGGCCCGTGGAACTCCTGCACCCCTCTCTCTGGCGAGCAGCATTGGCAATGAGGCGATAGCCATTCTCCTTGGCCTTCGCCTCGCACTTGCGAAGACCGCTGACGGAATGCACGTGCGTCTCGATAAGGGCGAACAGGTCGAACTGGGCAGTGGACTGCTCGACGAATGACCAAGCCTTATCCCCCATGCAAGACATTAGAATATAATACGTGAATATTATCCCCGTTGCGCTCGCCATCCGAAGAGCGAGCCCTTGCTGTAGAGGCAGACCCTAGTCAAGACTCCTCAGCAGTCCCCTCGCCTTTGCCGCTCTTGCCCTTCTGCGATAAGTCCTCCGCTGACAGCTTGGCCTCCGGCAGCCGCTTGGCCCCCGCCTCGATGACCTCCCGCTCCTGCGCAGAACGGCCGCCACTCCCAGGAGTAGCAGCCGTGGCAGCAGGCGACGCCCCAGCTGCGGTGGGCGTCTGGGAGCGGGAGGTGTCGCCAGCGGGAGGCTGGCTCGCGGCCGCCGCGGCGCCCTGGGTTGGGGTGGCCTCCTCGTCTGGGGCCCCAGCCACGCGCTCGCCATCAGCGCCCGTGCGGCGCTTCTTGGCCAGCCTCGCCTCGATGGACTTCCTGAGCTCCTCCATCTGCTTGAGCCAGGCCCGTACCTCGCTCTCCTTGGAGTCCATCTCAGCCTCTGTCGCAAGAAGCCCAGCACGGATGTCCTCCAAGCCTTCCTTCTCGTGAGTTTCACATTCCAAGTTCTCGAGCGAATCGAAGAAACCCTTGTCCCAAACTACCTGGATCAGCTTCCCGTTGCTCTTGTCCTGCTCCTTAGCGGTCGCCATCTCGGCCTCCACGCCCTCGGCGTGGGCCAAGGCTCGCGCGGCAGAGCGCCGCGCGCAGAGAGCCTCCGCCAGAGACGTGACAGTGACCTGCTCCTTGCTCTCCGCGGCCTCGACCGCCTTGCGCAGTCTCACCAGGTTCGCCACGGCCTGGTTGTGCTTGTGATCAGCATCTCGGTTAGACGCCGTCTGCCCTCCTGAGGGCCTCCACTGCCGAGGTGGGCTCCGAGGCCTTGGCCAGCAGCGCCGCCTCGTCGAGCTTCTTAACCTGCTCCTGCAGCGCCACCTTCAGGTCACCGTCGGCAGCCTCAGCCGCTCTCTGGAGCAGCGTCGAGACTTCATCCTTGCTGTGGTCGGGGCCACGGCCCTTGCCACCCGCCTTCCCGCGCTTGCCTCGTCCCGCTCCAGGCTGAGGGGACTGGCTGCGCGAGCGGAGGATCCCCTCGGGATGCACCAACGAGGCGTCCCCCTTCCAATCGTTCACCACCTGATCCGTCGACACAGTGTCTGCAAAACGTACTGCACGACCGCGAGCCTTGTACAACTCCACGGTTGACCCGCAATTCATGCAGAAACCCATCTGCTCCTCTAGCACATCGTTGTACTCGCACTGTCCACACTTGCTGCAGCGGGACCAGGAGCGACGAGCGACGGTGCCAGCCATGACTGAAAGTTGTCTCCTGCTTTGGTCGATGCCACACTCTCCCACGGCAGGGGGTGTGGTCAGAGTTCCTCAAGCGCTACGTGAAAGCACAGGAGAATGAGCCCCGCCAAAATGGTTCGGGCCCAAGTGGCTTGAGAGGAGGAGGGGCAGGAGGAGGAGGAGGACGAGGAGGATGAGGGGGAGGAGAAGGAGCAGGAGGAGGAGGACCAGTGCAAACCCAATAATCATCAACGATGTTGTAATTAACCCTCCCTCCAAGCTCCCTCATAAGCCCTTACATCGGTTTATTTCAATTGAGGGAACTGCCTCGTTGGAAGGCAACCGTTTGAAGACCTCGAAGCATGACAAAAAAGGTTCTCGGGATTTCCACGCCACGGATCAACCAAAATGCTGCGTCCTGGCGATCTGGAGTCGTGCTGGAACGCCTTTTTTGGGACTTCAACACCGCGAATCAACCTCATGTTGCACCCACAAAATCCGGAAACCTTCCAAAACACGATTTCTGGCAAGATGATCCTGGGAATGTGTAAAACTCTTGCAAATGTTTAAAACGAATGTGCGCGGTACTACAGCGAGAACCACACTTTGAAAAGGAACCGCCCGCAACCCAGGAAACTCTTGCAAGCGTTGAGATCCAATGTGCGCGGCGCTAAAGCGAGAAAATCACCCGCCCTCAATCCGCGAAGCTCTTGCAACTGTTTAAACGAGTGTGCGCGGCGCTAAGGCAAGAACCACATTTTGAAAACCACGCGCCCTCAACCCGCGAAGCTCTTGCAAGTATTAAAACCCAATGTGCGCGGCGCTAAAAATGAAAGCCACCTTTTGAAAACCACCCGCCCTCAATCCGTGAAGCTCTTGCAATGTTTCAAATCGAGTGTGCGCGGCGCTAAAGCGAGAGCCACACTTTGAAAACGGCCCGCCCTCATTACGTAAAACCCTTGCAAATGTATACGAAAGAATGCGCGCGGCGCTAAAGCGAGAACAACATCTTGAAAACCACACGCCCCGAATCCGTGAAACTCTTGTCAATGTTTAGAACGAGTGCGCGCGGTGCTAAGGCGAGAGCAGCATTCTGAAAACGGCCCGCCCTCCATCTGTGAACTGGTTGCCATTCGTCGAGCTTCCGAACCATAAGCGGTGAGGAAGTCTCAGAAAGGAGGAGGAGGAGGAGGAGGAGGAGGAGGGAGGAGGGAGGAGGAGGTGGAGGGAGGAGGAGGAGGAGGAGGAGGAGGAGGAGGAGGAGGAGGAGGAGGAGGAGGAGGGAGGAGGGAGGAGGAGGTGGAGGGAGGAGGAGGAGGAGGAGGAGGAGGAGGAGGAGAAGGGGAGAAGGGGCGCGCAGCAGGCGCCACCGGCCCAGGAGAGGCCCCGGGTGATGGCATCCCCGCCGCTTCGGGCGTCCGCGAGCGCCTCTGTGGACCAGGTTGCGGACCGCGAGCTCGATCGGCACCTCCAGTCGCGCGAGCTCCCTGCTGTCCTGGGGCAGGGGATCGACTACAGAGCTGACTTACCCAGAGTTCATTCTCCCGCCGAATCTGCGAACACACACACGTAGGCTGCTGCGCCGATTGCCGCCACGCTCTGCGCTTTGCGTAGATTCGGCGGAAAAGTCAAGTTTGTGGTCAGTTCTGCAATCGACCCCCTACTCGATGTCCAGGTTCCCGGGGTAGACGAGATCCTCTCTGGGCGGCGAGCCCGCGGGTGAAGCGAGAAGGGGCAGGCCTCAGATGGAGGCTGGCCTTCTCAGAAGCCTTCGCGCCTTCTGAGGAGTGCTCTGCGTCATCGGAGAAGGCTCGGAAGACTTCTAAGAAGGCGCGAGGTATTGCAAGCAAAACGTAAACTGTTCCGCCGTCCGGGTCGCCTGCCCACCCTGGCGGCTGCCAAGCTTATATGTATACCCCTACGGTGCCACGTAGGGGTCGAGACTTTCCAGCCGCCCAGGGGGCAGGCGTCCCCGACGACGGCAGAGCTTCTGGAATACCGCTCTTCGCCCGTTGGGAGGCGGTCTGAGAAGCCCCGCCGCCCTCTGAGAAGGCCTGGCCCCTCTCACTTCCCCCTCCTCCTCCTCCTCCTCCTCCCTCATCCTCCTCCTCCTCCTCCCCTCCTCCTCCTCCTCCTCCTCCTTCCTCCTCCTCCTCCTCCTCCTCCTCCTCCTCCTCCTCCCCTCCTCCTCCGCCTCCTCCTCTCCTCCTCCCTCCTTTCACTTCCTCCTCCTCCTCCTCCTCCTCCCTCCTCTCCTCCACCTTCTCTCACTCCTCCTCCTCCTCCCCTCCTCCTCCTGCTCCTCCTCCTCCTCCCCTCTCCTCCTCCCTCCTCCTCCTCCTCCCTCCTCCTCTCCTCCTCCTCCTCCTCCTCCTCCTCCTCCTCCTCCTCCTCCTCCTCCTCCTCCTCCTCCTCCTCTCCTACCTCCTCCTCTCCTCCTCCTCCTCCTCCTCCTCCTCCTCCTCCTCCTCCTCCTCCCTCTCCTCCTCTCTTGGCCTGGCCGCCGATCCTCGAGCGCGTACCCGAGGAGCTCGAAGAGGGGCGTGGGATGGACGGCGTCCTCCCGGCGGCCCGCGAGGAATGTGCTTCGGGCTATAGGGCGAAGGGGCCCTGGGACGCACACGAAGACATGCACACCAGCAACTGGATCCCCCATACTTTCCCATGTCTTCTGGGTTTCTGCCTCCCCACCCTTTTTTCCCATATCTTCCCATATCTTTCCTGGGGAATCGACGACTCCTTGTGTCCGTGCGTTTTTTCCCCTCCTGCTAGGGGGGAACGCCTGCCCAGCGCCTCCCGAGCAGGCAGAGGCGTCCGTGGCAACGGAGCCGGCTGCCGAAACAGAGGCAGGTACCGCGCGCCGTTCCACGGGTGCTGATGGGCCTGTCTTCCACCACCACCACCACCACCACCACCACCACCACCACCACCACCACCACCACCACCACCACCACCATAAGTTGGAGGGGAGGGGGTCCTCCACCTCCTCCACCTCCTCCTCCTCCTCCTCCTCCTCCTTTCTCCCCTCCACCTCCTCCTCCCCCTCCTCCTCCACCACCTCCAACACCTCCTCCTCCTCCACCTCCTCCTCCACCTCCTCCTCCTCCCCCTTCTCCAACTTGTGGTGGTGGTGGTGAAAAGCAGGCCCATCAGGTGTGTGTGTGGGGGGGGGGCTCGTAGAAGGCGGGCGCTCCCGCCCCGCCCCCCCTCCCCCTGCCCCTTTCTGAAAGCAGCCAGCATGAGCGGCGTCCTTTTCCGCGACGTTCAGGAACGTCTCCTCCAACCTGTCGAAGCCTTCCGCGTACCTGCCAGCATGGATCAGTGACTTCGTCAGCCCCTCGCAGGCGCTGCCATAGAGCGGGCTGTCTGCACCGATGCTTCGCCCGAAAAGTATACGTGCCTTGGTGAAGTGCTCGACACCCTTGTCTGGCTGCCCCATCAGATCGTAGCAGCTACCGACAGTGTCTTGCAGTTTCGCCAACGTCACGTCGTCGTCAGGCTCTTCACGCTCCCACTGCTCCAGAGCCTTGAGCAGCAACGGTAGCGCCTCATCATACCGCCCCATATTCTTTCTGGCAATGCCAATGTTCCAGAGGTCGTCCTTCTCAGGTTCGCTGTGGCCGGCAACCTCCATGGACGCCAGGAAGTACTCCTCGGCCTTCTCGGGCTGCCGCATCATGTTGTAGACGGTCCCGAGATTGTTGAGGGTCGCGGGGTGCGGGGGCGTCCGCTTCGCAATCTCCTCAAGCAGCACAGCCGCTTCTGGCTGCCTCGCCTGCTTGCAGCGGAGGGTGGCGCAGTCCTGCAGCCACTTGATGTCCCAGGGCAGACCGCGCTCCATGCAGTAGGGCTCGATCGCGGCGTACAGCGCGTCCGCCTTTCGGGCTGGGCGAAAGGGGGGGATGGCAAAACGGGGGTTTGAGAATCAGCTCACGCAACTGATTTTCCCGGCGCCTCCCGGCGCCGGAGGCGGCAATGTATCGAGGAATGGGCCCCTCGGTGGGGCCGAAACCAGCTGCATGCCACAGATGTCGTAACCCCCCGCTTCCCTATCCCCCCCTCTCGTCTGGCCCGAGCCTTATCCACGGCGTAGTTCTTGATGATGCGCCTGTTTTCCACCACCACCACCACCATGAGTTGGAGGGGGAAAGGAGGAGGAGGAGCAGGAGGACGAGGAGGAGGAGGACCAGAAGGAGGAGGAGGACGAGGAGGAGGAGGAGGACCTCCTCCCCCTCCAATTTATGGTGGTGGTGGTGGAAAACAGGCCCATCACTTGAGGTAGGCGACTGCCAGATCCAGGGCGCCCTCGAGCACCAGCGGGTCTCGGAAGCCCTCCCTGGCGAAGGCCACGCGCCTGGCGTACTCCGCCTCGAAGCCCTGCAGCAGCCGCAGGTTCTCTTGGGGCCCGGCCATGTCCGCTGGGCCCCCCCCCCCGTGGGGGCAGGAGGCCCTGTGCAAGACGCTCCCAAGAGGCCCCAGTGCGCGACTGCCTGCCAACCTACCCCAACCCGACCCGAAGACCCTGGTCTCGCCCGAATTTCGGGTTGGGGGGGTTCGGGCTTCGTACGTGTTTTTGTCCATGTTCCCCGACCCCCCCATGGGTGGAAATGACAAAAGATTTCCTGGACTTCTGCACGTCGACGTGAGCAGACGCGATGCTTCCTTTGCGCACCAGGCCTGAATAGTGACTGGCATTTGATTTTTTCCCTCGCGCCCTATATGGGCCCGCCCTCGTGCGAGCGGGGTGACTTGACTTGACTTGACTCCCCGACCCCCCCACACTGGAAATGGAGGGCACATCGGAGCCTTCGGGTTGGGTTGGGGCCGTTTGGTGGGCGGTGAATTGCGGCCCACGGGCTGTCCGGGTTTTGGCCGCACGATGGCTCCGTCGGGGGGCGGGGGGCGGGGGGCTAGGCAGAGGGTGGGGTGCCAAGCCGCGTGGCGGCTCCCCAGATCCCTCGCATGGGGGAAGGGCGGTGGTGCGCAGGGGAGTGAGGGAGGAGGGGAGGAGGAGGGGGTGGAAGGAACAGACGAGGAGGGGGGGAGGGAGGAGGGGAGGAGGAGGGGGAGGGAGGAGGGGACGAGGAGGGGAAAGAGGGGGGGCGCAGCCCTTTCGCATACTCCTCCTCGGACCACTTCATCCTGGCCTTCTCGGGGAAGGCCTCTGGCGGCGGCCCGCGCACCTGCTGCGAGCCCGCGAGGGGCGGCATCATGGAGCGGAGCACAACCTGAAGGGCCTCGAACTGGTAGGTGTTGCCCTTCAGCACGCTGTTGGCCAGCGCCGCGCAGGCCGTCTCCACCGCGTCCTCGTCGATGTGGGCGCTCTTGACCATGGCGCGCGGGAACTCGCCGTGGACCCGTGACATCGCCAGCTCTTTCTGGATCGGCACGGCACGGCGCCTCCAATGCAGCAAGAACGTTGGGGCGGCGAGAGGGGGGGGAATGCCCCCCTGCGCATCCGGACTCCTCCTACATAGCGCGCGCATGTAAGAATGTTCATGCCTGGGGGGGGAGTACTCGGTGCAGCAGAGGAGAGTACCTGGAATCAATTCGAATTTCAAAAAATGGTGGCTGGGGAGTTGGTGGTTGAGCCACTGTGCCATAATAGTATGAGCCATCAAGAGATGAAACACACTCTTGGCCAACATCTCGTAATCCCGCATGGTGATTCGGGGGACGGGGGCCCTGAGTGGACCGTCTGCATAGCTGTTAAATTATCATGTGTTTCACGGAATTTGGGTTGAGCCTGTTTGAGTAGCGTCGAACTGCGGAAGCAGACAACAGTAGTTTCCATAGCGCTGACCACCAAGTCTTTCGTGCCATCTCAAAGCGAGATGACCAATTGGTACAGGAACGCGCCCAGAACATGGCGGGTGTTGTGCAACGCGACGCCGTTGCCGATACATCGCGGTCGAGCGCCGTTGGCGTAAACTCATTCGGATGTCTGCCTTGATCCAAGCCTGCGCTTCCAAACTACTGGGGTCACCCAGGATGGCATGCATGCAATTTGGCAACAAGAACTGGATGTTTTCTTAACGTTCCGCCTGTCACTGACGGCTGGGACCTCGCACTGGGCACCGTGGACGGGATGAATTGTGCACCCAAGCCCGAGCACAGGCAGACAACGGCCTCCGCGCTGTTATATCGAATGCGGTGGTGTAGACGGGTTGCGCACTTGCAATCAAACGCCTGTAAACAACAACTGCTGCAACCACTCGCCGCGGTGTGCAGTTCTGCACCAACGCAAGCACGGGGCATAGCTTCGGCACTTGGTAAGATCGGGAGCGGCCAAGAGGGGGGTGTCCAAGAGGGGAGGGTGCAAATCATGACCGGCGGCATGTGCGCGGCCCCGCGGGGGGGGCCAGGGACGTAATGAAACAATAAGAGGCGCCATGAGATCTGGGGAAAGATCGTGGCCCCCGCAATGATATCCACCCCCCCCTAGTCATCACCCCCCTCTTTTCCGCTCCCGATAGCTTCGGCACTTGGTAAGAGAGCGGGCCCTGCGCCTGGCTTCCCAGGAGGAGGGGGAGGAGGAGGAGGAGGAGGAGGAGGCGCAGGAGGAGGAAGAGGAGGAGGAGGAGGAGGAGGAGGAGGAGGAGGAGGAGAAGGGGGGGCACGACAGCCGGAACAACCGCTTTGAGGTTGTGGAGGGTCCCGGGGGCGCGGGAGCGGCCCGAGGTCGACGAGGTCAGTCCGAGACCAGCCTAGGTAGTCGAAGCCAATCGGGCGCCAATCTGGCAGGCCCAGTCTGGCAAGAAGCTGCACAAGATTACTCAGCATGGGTGGAAATGACAGAAGATTTCCTGGACTTCTGCACGTCGACGTGAGCAGGCGCGATGCTTCCTTTCCGCACCAGGCCTGAATAGTGACTGGCATTTGATTTTTCCCTCGCGCCCTATATGGGCCCGCCCTCGTGCGAGCGGGGTGACTTGACTTGACTCTGGCGAGGGAGCCAACGCGAATCCAGTCTGGCGAAGAACCCAGATCCTCCAATGTGGCCAGGCCAGATTGGCCCTTGGGGCCCAATCCAGTCTGGCAGTCTGGCCTTCGACTGCCCAGCTAGCGAAAGCCGGTGTGGACTGAGAGATGCTGTCAAGACCATCCACGAGGCACGCTATTGGTGTCCACTCGGGCGCTCAGGCTGGTGCGCTACCCAATTCGGGGGGTGAAGTGTGCGACGCGTGGCCTAGTAGGCGCACGTCCCCTCGCCTTGCCTCCTGCTCCCCTCCCTCCAGCCCTCTTTCGTCGTCGTCCCCCTCCTTCCCTTCTCCGCCCCCGAAATGACCTCCTCCTCCCTTCTCCTGTGTTGGTTCGAGAAAAAGGGTGAAAATGTATTTCCCCGCGGGTCTGGACACGGGTAACTCGTACCCGCGTCTAGTGCCTCGAGAAGTGGACCAGTTGACGGTCTGGCCTTGGGGTCAGCATCCCGGGTGTTCTGTATCCTAACACTCGGGTAGTCCCTGGGCCTTCTCCAACTCTTGAAAATTGACGAGCCAAGCCCTTGTTCCTCCCCCTTCTACGCGCATGGCCAGCCCGTGGTGCGACGCGAGCGCGCTGGGTGCCAGGTCTTTGAACATATGGCTGCGGGGTGATGGGCGCCGCCTTGACCCTCAAACCTGCGACCAGTGTATCGTCTGGCGACCAGGGCGTCTCCATGAGAAGAAATAGAGGAGGAGGAGGAGGAGGAGGAGGAGGAGGAGGAGGAGGAGGAGGAGGAGGAGGAGGACAAGGAGAAGGACGAGGGGGAGGAAGACGAGGGGGAGCGGGGGGAGTAGGAGGAGGAGGAGGAGGAGGAGGAGAAGGAGGAGGAAGAGGAGGGGGAGGAGGAGTAAGAGGAGCGAGGAGGAAGAGGAGCGAGCGTTACCAATCGGTCTCTCCGCCTGGGCCGCCTACCGCACCGAGCCCCTCAAGCACGCGGTGGCGTCGTCCAAGTAGATGTCGGAGGAGTCGAAGTAACCGTCATTTCCGAAGCAATCGTATAACTTGTCGTGTTTGTAGGAGCTGTTGGTAGCAGGCAGATCGACACGAGACCGCGCCGACGACGTCGAAGAACAGGACGGAGGGGAGGAAGGCGACCACGAGGAGCTCGCCACCGAAGAAGAAGACGCCCGACAAGCGCACTCGCAAGGCGGGAAGGCGGAGAGGAGAAGAGAGGGACCGCACCGAGGGCAACGGTCAGAGTCCGTCGGCACGTAAAGGTTGAAGTTGTCGCGCTTGATCAGGATGGACGGGTTCTGGCCGAAAGGACGGACTACCCACCGCTGGGCAACGACATCGTACTCGGATGCAGAACACGGCACGCCCTTGAGTTCAGGTTTATTCACCAATCCCGTGATGCGAGCATGTGCAACCACCCCCTGCAGAAAATCGTCCGGATCACCATCAAGATCTTCATCTCGAAAAACAAACCACCCGCAGCAACATTGAGACCAGCACGACAACCGTGAGAAACTGCAAGAGGGTTATGGAGTTCATCTCGCAATGCTTCCCTTTTCACCACCAGACGCTTCAGGAACAACCCGACAATCGTGAGTGAATTCACGAGAGTCACGACATGCAAATCGGAATTCGTCTTGCTTGGCACCACGCCCTTGGTCATCAGCGTCTGCGTCATGAAGCCCTTGTTCAGGAAGTAGCTGCGCGGCGCCTTCAGGGGGAGGCCGCCCATCGCCGTCAGGTGGATAATGATGTCCCACAGGAGGCTCGCGTGCGTGCCGAGCGGCGCCAGCAGCGGCAGGACCTGCAGCAGCGCCGACGACGTGAGGCCGAAACCCCGCAAGGGGGTTGAAGTACAGCGGGCGCGCCAGCAGCGTCGTCAGGTAGAGGCGCAAGTGCAGGGAGAACGTGATCAGCAGCGGCAGGACCCGCAGCAGCACCACCACCATGAGCCAGCAGCCCTGCAGGAGGCTGAAGAACAGCAAGCACGCCAGCAGCATCGACAGGTGGCGGAAGGAGCTCATGGAGAGCGTGACCATCAGCGGCAAGAGCCTCAGCAGCACCATCGTCAGTAGAAGTGCCCAGATGACCAGCAGGCTCCTCAGCCCCATGCAGGCGAGGCGGACGACCAAGTCCACCACCTTCATGCGATGGCCCCGACGTGTTGAGAGACACGTCATAAATCTCAGGAGCGCTGCAACCAGCAGTCCTCTCACACCGAAGCTCTGTCGCCAGCGGCTGTGCAGAGACGACTTGTGGCAAGAGCTGCGATAGGCGCCCGTGCTCAATGGCGGCAGCATCCTCGGAGGTCACGCTCAGGTGGGAATGTCTGCAAGCGGCGCCAAAGCGGCAGGCTGGATAGTACTTGAGGCAGGCCTCGTGGCAATCCGCGGCCCGAACTTCCAGGACCTTCGGCCAAAAAGAAGTCGAGAGCATCAGATGGAGTGCGAGTCGGCGCAGCGTCTCGGTGATGTTCGGGAGCAGCGTGGTGACCCGGTGTCTCTATACCAGGTGTCTCTATACCAGCAGCTGCAGAGCCCAACGCCGAAGGAGCCGCAGAACCCGAGGCCGCAGCAGTAGACGCCAAAGTCGCCGCCGAACTCCGAGGTGCCGTGACATACGATGCGGCCTGGGACACAGGCGGCAGGCAATCCGAAGAGTGCCTGCCGTCTGGCCAGGGTCAGCCGGAGCAGCGCGAAAGGACCGTGCAGGCGCCGAGGCCGTCTTCGAACTCGAGGGTGCCGAGAAAGGCGAGGCCGCCAGCGAGAGCGACGAAGTTGCCGAAGGAACTGTAGACTCCAAAGCAGCTGCCGAAGTCGCCGTCAAACGCGGAGGTGCCTTGACAGACGAAGCCGCCGCCGAAAGTGTCGGAGTTGCCGAAGGGCTCAAAGCCGTGGGAGCTGCTGCGCCCGAAGCTGCTGCCGAAGACGCCGACGTCTCCGTCAAACACGAAGGCGCCGTGACAATCGAAGCCGCCGCCGAAGGCGACGAAGTTGCTGCAGAGCTCAACCCCGAAAGAGCCGCAGAGCTCGAAGCTTCTGCAGAAGAAGCTGAAATTGCCGCGCCGAGTACGGAGGTGCCGCGACACACGAAGCGGCCTGGGATGCAGGCGGCAGGTAATCAGAGGAGCGCCTGCCGTCTGAATGGGGAGCGGGGACAGCAGGAGCAGCGCAGAGCTCCAATTCCCGAACAGCCTACACCAACCCTTTGGCCGTGAGGGGCGTTACCAGGAACCTGAAGACAGCCGACTCCAGAAAGACGAGCGTCGCCAACGACCTCCGCAAAGTCAACCTCGGGAGCCTGGGTCTGATCGTCGATGTCGGGGCCGGGCCAGGAGGGGAAGACACAAGATGGCGAGAGCCACCACGAGCCCTGCGAGGCCAGTGCTATTGTGCAGTGGTCCAGGGCCGCCCAAGTAGCCGAACGAGACGATAACATGTTGATGGTGACCTCCATCTGCTCCAGGCGCGACGATGGTGTTGCACTTGTTGCCACGACCACCACTGCAACTGGACAGTTTGTCGTTGGGGTCGTTCTGCTTGTCGGACGGGCCGTCTTGCAGCATGGCGTTGCCGCCCACGGGAGTCACAGGGGAAGCCCCCCGCGGCATCCGCATCGGTAGCGTCGCAACCACCAGTAGCCACAACGAGATTCTCGACACTGTCGGCCTGGCACAGCCTCTCGCCCGCCCCGCGGGAATGAGCACCAGCCTCACGCCGAACAGGTAGAAGAGGATGCGATCGATGAGCCCGCTGAGCAGGGCCCACAGGGGCCTGCTGATTGTGCAAGGCACTGGGCAGATGCTTGGCGCGATCTGCCCGTTCCAAGGTCGAGCGCGCGAGCGCGTGGGTCGCCACGTCGCAAGGCACGGTGAGCAGCCACCTTGCCAGCGGCAGCTGGCGGGACACCAGCAAGCAGGCCAGCAACGTCCAATTGACGATGTAGCGCCTTACCCCGAGCCATCCGCTTGACATCTTTGTAGTCGGCGGAATCGACCTCCACGAACGACTTGTTCGGCGCACTGTGCGACGTGACGCAGAACAGGCCCCGCTCCCGTCGGCGGGCTTGAGAGACCGAAACAGGTGCACCTTCAGCGAGCGCAGCCAGCGAGCGCAGCCACCCAGGAGCGGCAGCGAGGCATCCCACCTGCGGCGAGTTCCACTCGAAGGTGTGGAAGACAAGATAGCTGAGCAGCGATCAACCGCATCGGCATTGAGTATCGTTTAACGGATCCCCATCCCCAGTGGCGTGGCCTGGGCCCCACTGGCCGATCTACCCCCCTAGATGGGGGTATAGGCCGTTCCCTTCGGGTTTCGAGGGGGGTATCCCCAACTGGGGTGTAATTTGGTTGGGGTCTCGAAGGGGATAGGGACGGGGATGGGAATGTGGATTGGCTAAACGATACCAATCGAAGGTGTGGAAGACAGGACAGCAGAGCAGCGATCAGCCGCATCGGCGCAGCGACGCCATGGCTGACTTCCCGCTCGGCGGCGGGCGACAAACCACATGAAGGGGCCTCCCCGCGCGGCGCGGCCCCGAAACTCTTGAGCCAGAATGGCTTGAGCCAACACGGCTCAGGAGGAGGAGGAAGAGGAGGAGGACGAAGAGGAGGAGGATGAGGAGGACGAGACGAGGAGGAGGACAAGAAGGAGGAGGAGGAGGAGGAGGAGGAGGAGGAGCAGGAGGAGGAGGAAGAAGAGAAGGAGGAGGAGGAAGAGAAGGAGGAGGAAGAGGAGGAGGGGGAGGAGGAGGAGGAGGAGGAGGAGGACCAGAAGGAGGAGGAGGAGGACCAGAAGGAGGAGGAGGAGGAGGAGCAGGAGGAGGAGGAGCAGGAGGAGGAGGAGGAGGAGGAGGAGGAGGAGGCGCGCACCAGCGCGGGCGGGCCGGGGCCCAGAGCAGGGGTCACGGCACGGCCCCGCCGATCCTCGCGGTGCCCCGAGGCGCCTCGTGGCCGGCGCTCTGCACGATGGGCTCCGTCTCTTGGCACGCCCGAGAGGGGTACGGGCACAGAGCGGGGGCGGCCAAGAGGGGGGTGTCCAAGAGGGCGCATCAAGTCTACCAGCAGTCAGCTCGTCAACGGCTTCGGCGAACGCCGAAGCAATCGCGCTAGTATGGAAGGACATCCTGTAGTGCCCCCTCGCACTCCAGACGTGCCTGGGGCTTTCTTGCCAGACAGGCTCCAGAACATGTCGAGGACCTCGCATCCACTTAGGATGTTCCCAGGGACCGAAGATCGGGGGCGGCCAAGAGGGGGGTGTCCAAGAGGGGGGGGTGCAAATCATGGCCGGCGGCACGTGCGCGGCCCAAGGGGGGGGGCCAGGGACGCAATGAAATAAGAAGAGGCGCCATGAAAGCTAAGGAAAAATCATGGCCCGCGCCATGAAATCCCCCCCGCCTAGTCATCACCCCCCTCTTTGCCGCCCCCGAACAGAGGGTAGGAAGCACCTCCTGGGAGGTTTTCGCCGGAAAGAGTGAAAAGGATTAAGCCCAACGTGGGAGCTGCTGCGCCGGAGCGGGCCTCGGACTAAGCAGGATGAAACAGGATTCAGCGGGATGAAACGGGATTGAGCCGGATTAAGCGGGATAAAGCTGGATCAAGCCAGATTTCGGACCAGGACACAATCAGAATTTGACCTACCGGGAGTTGCATCCGAAGATAGGATACCCGACCGCACATGTCGTCCAACACCAGCAGCGGCCGCTGCTGGGCAGGCGACCTGCTGTCTCAGATGGACAACGTCTGCGGCGACTCCGTCAGCGAGCCCTGCTCAAAACAGGCAGGAGCCCCTGTCGGTGGACCTCCGTCGCTCTTCGTGCGGCTCCATCCGCCCCCTGAAGAGGATGAAAGAAAGAAAACCACTCGACTCTTGAAGTAGAAAGGCGCCTGAAGTAGATTGGATTTGGACACCCCAAAACACCTACTTTCAACGACCGGCTTGCACCGCTACTCCCCAGACCTCTCCCGGGGTGCGCTCGGACCAGAACCTTCGAGGAGAATCCAGCCGTGGCGACGCGAGCGCTCCACGACGAGCAGCCCCCTCCGATGCCCATGCCCGCTTCGATCGTGCCAAGTCTCGCACCCCCCGCCACGGCGAGGGACCCCCTGCGGCACAGCAGCAGCGCCTGGGATGCAGAAGCACATGCTAGTACTGTTATGTCGGGCGTATTCCCCATACAGGCGGCTTTTGGGCGAAACAATGAAAACACTTAAAACATACACCAACGTAGTCAGTATATGTATATTTTCATATCCGCCGGCCCCCTTGTGGGGCCACCAGGCTGTAGGCGCGGGTTCGCAGTTTCCAGTACCAGTTGTAGCTTGTAGTTTCCAGTGTTACAGTTCTGCTTCTTGCTGGTTACTGTAACTAGTTGATTGACCGCGCGAGGGGGGGGGAAGCCCAAACAAGATTTTCCAGCGTCCCCTGGGCGCGTTGTCTGAATTGCTGGGGGGGCTCGAAATCAACACCCCTCACGCAGATCCGCGGGGTCAGGGTCCAAAAACACAGGGGATTTGCCACATTTCTGAAATTCGGTGCCACCCCTCACGCAGATCCGCGGGGTCAGGGTCCAAAAACACAGGGGATTTGCCACATTTCTGAAATTCGGTGCCACCCCTCATGCAGATCCGCAGGGTCAGGGTCCAAAAACACAAGGGATTTGCCACATTTCTGAAATTCGGTGCCACCCCTCACGCAGATCCGCGGGGTCAGGGTCCAAAAACACAAGGGATTTGCCACATTTCTGAAATTCGGTGCCACCCCTCACGCAGATCCGCGGGGTCAGGGTCCAAAAACACAGGGGATTTGCCACATTTCTGAAATTCGGTGCCACCCCTCACGCAGATCCGCGGGGTCAGGGTCCAAAAACACAGGGGATTTGCCACATTTCTGAAATTCGGTGCCACCCCTCACGCAGATCCGCGGGGTCAGGGTCCAAAAACACATGGGATTTGCCACTTTTCTGAAATTCGGTGCCACCCCTCACGCAGATCCGCGGGGTCAGGGTCCAAAAACACATGGGATTTGCCACATTTCTGAAATTCGGTGCCACCCCTCACGCAGATCCGCGGGGTCAGGGTCCAAAAACACAGGGGATTTGCCACATTTCTGAAATTCGAACCCATCACGCACATCCATCGCAAGGCGTGGTAACCCAAACTGCGAGAACTCCCTCGGCCCTTTAATCGCAAGGTGTGGTAACCAAGCCCTTAAACCATACACGTCTTACCAATCGCCAGGTGTGGTAACCCCTCTTGTGATCAGTTGGTTTTGCTGATTGCGACTAGGCTTCGCATGAAGTTTCGATACTGCTTCACGACAGCGCCAAGGCCTCATGACTTAGCTCTTCCATGGCCCATTCTCCGAGAGAGGGGGCCGGCGGCAGGGGGCGAAGCCCTTACGGATATACACATACATCGATGTACGTATTTCGATAGAGAGAGAGAGAGAGAGATCATCGTCCCCTGACGTTTTTTAGAATACTATCGTTGACTACTCCTCCTGTAGAGGGACAGGCCCGACTTGATAGTACTGCGCGCCTCCCTCGGAGACGCCCGTCCGAACCGAACACGGAGCACAAACGCGCCCCGAGCGGCACGGCCGTCGCATGGAGGGAATGACCACATCGACGAGCTTTACGACTGGGAGCCCTGTGGATTTGCGGGCGGAGGCGAGGGGAAGGGGGAGGGGGCGGGCGGCACGACGGAGCGGGAGAAGCAGGAGGGGGGAGAAGCAGGAACTCGAGCACAAACGCGCCCCGAGCACCCTGCAGCACATCGCGCCCCGAGCGGTACGGCCAGAGAGCGCCCGCCACGGAGCTTCGATGAGAGGAGGCCTCCGAGCGTGCGCGTCGCGTCTCTGCAGGGGCCGACGGGCACAGTCGGCCGCGAGCCCCGGGGGGGGGGGGGGAAAAGTGAGGAGAGGAAGGAGGAGGAGGAACGGGAGGGGAGGAGGAGAGGAGGGCAGGAGGAGGAGGAGAGGAGGATGAGGAGGGGGGCGGAGGGGGAGGGGATGAGGAGGAAGGAGAGTGAGTGAGAGGAGGAGTGAGAGGAGTAGGAGGATGAGGAGGAGGAGTTAGGGGAGGGGGGGGGGGAGGGAAGAGGAGGAGATGAGGAGGAGGAGGAGGAGGAGCGAAGAGCGAGGAGGAGGAGGAGGAGGAGGAGGAGGAGGAGGAGGAGGAGGAGGGGGATCAGAAGGAGGAGGGGGAGGAGGAGGAGGGGGAGAGAAGAGGACAAGCTAGGTGCGCTCGCGTCATATCTGACATCCTACCCCTCCCTCCCATCCCTTACCATGGCGCAGATCCCCTCTCTACTCGCTTAGTCGGATGTCGATCAGGGCAATGATCCCGAAAAGGGTACGCGATGCATTGTAGAGCACGGCGTGGCATGCCGTAGAAGAGCACCGCAAAGCGTAGTATCAACCTAGGATTGCATTGCATGCCGTGGCATGGCACGGGAAATGACACCAGCGCTGCAGCGGGAGCACGAGTCGAAACGAGCGGAAGCGCGGAAATGAGGCCAGCGCTGCAGCGGGAGCACGATTCGGAACGAGCGGAAGCATGGAAATGAGGCCAGCGCTGCAGCGGGAGCACGATTCGGAACGATCGGGGCCCGAAAATGAGGCCGGCGCCTCAGCGAGAGCAGCAGTTTGGAACAAACTGCAGGCGAAAACCCAACTCCAGGGAAACCTGTGTGTGCAAAAACAATACGCGGGGGGGTCGGCCACTTTCAAGCCGTCATCAGGGGAAGAGGGAGAGTAGTATCAATGTTGAGAAATGGTGGAGGACGAGGAAGAGGAGGAGGAAGGGGAGGAGGATGAGGAGGAGGCGGAGGAGGAGTAGGAGGACGGAGAGGAGGAGGAGTAAAGGAGGAAAAGGGGAGGAGTGAGAAGGAGGGAGGAGGAGGAGTAGGCTTGATGAGTAGTAGGGTCGGAGGAGGATAAGGGGAGGCAGGGGGAATAGGAGAAATGCGAAGGAGGAGGCTGCTTGTGAGGAGGAGGAGCGTAGGCGGGGAGGAGGAGTGAAGGGGGAGTAGGAGGAGGAGGAGGAGTAGGTAGGAGTAGACGAGGGGAGGAGGAGATCGTGAGTCGTATGTTCTTATGCGTCGTATCCGTCTGGTCGCGGCCACGTGAGGAGGCGTATTCGGAGGCTTGCTTCTCCGGCGGTGTGTGAGCAGACGTAAGCATTATGTGGTGTTTGGAGGTTCCGTCGGCGTATAGATGCTTGCTGGATTAGAGCCCGGTGGCCTGCAGGCGGCGGATGTGAGGAGGAGGAGGCGTCGGAGACTTATGATGCAGGCGTCTTTTCTTCTTCTTTGTTGTTCTTCTTCTGCGAGCGTAGGAGGAGGAGGAGGAGGAGGAGGGAGAAGGGCGGGCCTGCTCAGAAGGCTCGGAAGCCCCCAGGCCTTCTGGGAAGTTTGCTCAGCTTCCCCCAAAGGCGCGGAGAGCTTCGCGGAGGGCGCGCGGGCTCCTGAGGAGTCCCGCCGCCTTCGGAGCAGGCCTTCTCCTTCTCACTTCCCCCCCGCGCGCGCCACTGAATATGGTTTTGGGGTGGCCGTTCGGGAAGATCCGGGCACCCCCGGAACGCCCTCGGCGAGGCGCAGCCGCTGGAACACATCCCGAGGGCGAAAAACAGCCAAGAACCGCGAAGACGCCTAGAAACCTAGAGGCTCGAAGTTCGAACCTCGGAGCTCACCACGATCGCCGCCGATGTGAGCCGCCCGAGGTCGCCACTGACACCTACAAAGCATACGCGTTTGGGTGGCGCCGAGCGCCAGAGAGCACGAGGCCAAGCAGGCCCGCGAGGCCCCCCACAGGGGGCGCCGCACCCGCCAGCCTTCTGGCCGCGGTGGCCCGGGCGCTCTGCGGGGGCCAGGGGGGGGGGCCAAGCAGAAACACGCCCGAGCGGGCCCTCTCGGGGGCGAAGGGGGGGGCGAAGGGGAAAATTCCTCCCCC